TTTTTTTTTTTTTTTAAGGAAAATAAAAAATGAACTGTGAAGGTACTTAAGAAAAGAACAAAATTCACTTATTCATATGTATGAATAAGTGTTCTAGGTCTGAGCATCCGATGCTATTCCCCCAGCTGGATTACTTCTGAATCATCTTGTTTGGTTCAGGGTCTGTAACCCTTTTGAGGGACCTCCCAGACAAACTTTAGGTGGATTCTTACACACAGTTCCAAACCAAATTTCCCTGCCAATTGATTTTCACTGGATTATATGCCACCACTTGACTCAGAAATGTCCTACCCTTCTCTTCTTACTGGCAAAGAAGGAGAATGCTTCCAGAGGGAGTACGGGTTGATAATCGTATATACGTATGAAATAAGAACATATGATATGGCCAATTATTGTGAATAATATCAGCCAGGGACAAAAGGAAATTGGTCTGTACCTATAAAAGAGTGTTAGCCCACAAATGTTTGTCGAGTTAAATTTACTGAGCAAGCACACAACTCTGCTGATTCATGCTCTAAGTGGATGAATATTTCCAGATCCATGATGTCTGGGCTAATGAATTCCATCATGGAGTTAGGGCTTAGGGAGCACGGTTTTTTTTTCTCTCTGTCCTAACCTCCCAGCCCTAACGCCATTATCACCGATCCATTATTCCAAAGGGGGAAATGGTAGCCACTTATATTTGGGGGAATAGCATTTACTTAGTAGCCTGGAAAAGTGTTTAGTAATTGGCTTTTAATGCATTACTCAGCATCTCTGTTCTTATTCTGCCTTCTTTATTCACTGGAGAAGCCAGTTATTGCCGTCTACTAACCATACAGTATTTTCTAGCAGCTTTGGGCTGCTCAGATGAAAAGCTTTTACGAAAGACAAAGTAATGGAGAAAAAAAAAAAAAAACTTCCACGATTTTAATGTCAGCCAGAGCCTCCCCAGGTTTCTCTGAACTATGGGCTTTGTTGTTCTATGCCTAATTTTCTTCCTGTGTAAGACGGGAATGGATTCCAGATTTCAACTCAGACTCCTGTTTCACTGTTTTCAAGGACTTTTCCAAAGGTCACACATGGGCTATTGTGATGAATGCACTCTGCGGGGTGTGTTCTCGGAGCACATGAGAAACCAGAGAGCTGCGAGGGAGCCGTCGTCCACACCACAACACTGCATGCCTATTCTCCGGGGGACGGCAGTGTCACAGTGTCTATTTCACATTCTCTATTGGCCACTGACAAAAGCCATCACCCTGCATCTCTGGTGACGCTTGGAGGTCCTGGAGGTGGACAAAAGATTAAGACAGGATTGCTTTAACGATACGGCTTTGTTGGAAGCTTTCCGACTAGTGATTGCTCAGTAAACTGGCCATTTTTATTGTGGAAGAGAGCAATACAGGTGTCCCCAACAAGCTGTAGAGTGTGTTAATCTGGGACATCCAAATCAAGAAGGACAGTGCCCTTCTTTTCATTTAATGTATATTGGTCTCAAGCTCTGGACTTCAGTGTACTGAAGTCACATCTGTCCAAGATGGTTTTGTCATAATCTGGCAGATTATAATTGAGTTTTATGGATTCTTTTGCTGAAGAATTAAGGCAACAAACAAGTGAATACATGCATATTGGATTTTGTTTTGGGGATCAGAGCAGACTCAAAGCTGTGAGAGCTTTCCATCTTTCCAGCCACCCAAACAACAGGTTCTTAGATCCCTGAGATCTGTGGGTGTCTTCCATGAAAATGGGGTCTTCTAGAAAAGAAATCCACTGGATACCTGATGGACTTTTTTGACATTCGTAGGGGGAAGGGAGAAAATGAGGGGGTTAAGCAGACAGAAATGGAAAAGGGGAGAAAGAAGGAGACAGAAAGGGTAGGGGGCATTTAAACCAGACAGGGACACATTTCCAGACTCTTCTGGGTGTGACTGATTCTGTCGTGGTGTGAATATGGTGTTCTTAGAGTTACGTAGATTTGTGTTCATTTCTATTTGTGAGAATGAGACCAATCCTATCTAGCTTTAAAAGAGGTTTGCTTGCTTGCTTTCTTTCTTTCTTTCTTTCTTTCTTTCCACCAATAATGAGACTGGAAGCTAAATAAGGGGGTGGGGGGAAGTTGTCCATATGCCTGTCCTATGTCTCAGTAATGTTGAGATGATTACCATACTGAAACCAACTAAAATGAAGGGTGACATAGAAACCCTCTGGAGAGGGCTGTGGCCACTCTGTCTGGAATTCACCTTCAGTTTGAACAGAGTTAGGGAAGTCCAGGGAGTGTTGATACTAAGGAGAAGGTATGTAGGTACAGCTGTGATCGGATTTTGCCCTCAGGACACCACCGTGACCGGGCTGTTGTCCCCATTTCCTAGTTGAGATAACTGAAGCTCCAAGTGGTTAAAAAACTGGCCCAACAACACAGCACGTAGTGAAGGCTAACACCTCAGGCTCCAATGACGAAGCTCCTTCATCACAATATTGACCCTTTAGATAAGAATATCATACAGGGGGTGCCTGGGTAGCCCAGTCGTTTAAGCATCTAACTTCTGATTCAGCTCACATCATGATCTCACAGTTTTGTGAGTTCAAGCCCTGCATCGGGCTCTGCGCTGACCCTACAGAGCCTGCTTGAGATTCTCTCTCTCCTCTCTCTCTGCCCCTCCCCTGCTTGTGCTCTCTCTGTCTCTCTCAAAATAAATAAACTTAAAAATGTTAAATAAAAAAAAGAATATCATACAGCTTCCAGATCATACAGCTTCCAGATAACAGTAACCAGCAGATGACATCAAATTCATTGGGGTTAATTTATGTTTACGTACAAATGGGAGATAAGGATGCCAAGGATAGTGTAGACGTCCAGATTACCTGGGAAAGGTGAGGAGTGGTTGGTAGTTTGGGATGTGCCCCTTTGTTTAACCAGAGCTCTGTGGTCTCGCTGACTGGTTCAGCTTCCCTGCCTCTTTCTCCAAACACATTTTTTAATTTATTTTATTTAATGTTTATTTATTTTGAGAGACAGAGAGAGACAGAACACGTGCGGGTGAGAGGCAGAGAAGGAGACACACAGAATCCAAATCAGTCTCCAGGCTCTGAGCTTTCAGCACAGAGCCCCATGCGGGGCTTGAACTCACAAACTGTGAGATCATGACCTGAGCTGAAGTTGGACACTTAACCGACTGAGCCACCCAGGTGCCCCTTTAAAAAAATTTTTTAATGTCCTCCAAACACATTTTTTATCTTGATGTTTCTTACTTTACATGTGTGTCCCCCCACTACTCAACTAATTGGGATCTCCTTGAGGATAATCTTTGCATCGTGTAAGCTCCTTGTACTGAGAAAGGCCCCATGAGTGAGACCTGAATTTAACTAGTTGAGTTGAGTTGAATTAAAATAATGAGAAGGAACCAAACAGTAGCAGTGGAAATGGAGGTGGAATGAGGTGGCTAAGGGGCAAGGGGGGGCTCAGGAGAGGGTAAAACAAGGAAAATGCTAAGCAAAGTAACAAGCTGATAAAGAGTACTTGACTACATTTGACTTCTTCGAAGGACAGCTGGAAAGAACATCTGGCTTTTTTTTTTTTTTCCTTGAGAGAAAAGCAATATGTCTGTTACTGAGAAAATAGAAGTTAGATTAGCATCGCCCTCTTAGGAATTGAGAAGGGTCAATACT